AAAAAGTGATGTGCTTACTATAGATTATTCTCAACATTAACTTTAAAATTATTTTTAAATGCATGGACATAGTTGTAATTTGTTGTTGTACTCTTTAGAGGCCAACATACAGATAATTTAGACAAGGGTCACAGAGGGTTCGAAAATGAAAATTCATTTTGGCCTTGTAAGTGAAATAAATGATTTTTACTTTGTTTTTTAATTAAATTTGTTTTAATTTTTTATAACTTCTCTGCTATACATATAAAAGAAGGAAAAATACTTTTTAATAAAAGAAATTGGAAAAATTCTAACTAGGCAAACATCCTGTGTGAATTTAATCGTTATGCCAGTTGTACTGTAATTACCTTAACGATTGTATCGTATAAATTTAAAGATTAATTTGTTCGAGAAACTGAAATTGGACACGTTCCACTAAGCTTGTAATAAACATTTGATGCGCCATTTGTTGCCTCGAAAAATTCTACCATGTGTATATCTTGTCTTATTATTATTTTTTTAGTAATACATATTTACAAAATAACATTGCTTGTTTAAAACTTGATATTATAGCCATTTTTTTAGTTTTTGTGTTTAATAATTATTATCGACCTTAAACCGATAGAGTGGAAATTGATTAAATTACTGTTCACTGAACGCTAATCTCAAACACATATACAGTAAACACAAACTGAATTAAATATTTGTATCAACAATGTTTAAAGTACTTTCCTGTAGTTACAAAAAATTAATTAATCAGTACAAGCTTCCATTAACCAGTCTTATTAACAGCAAGAATAATTAAGTGGTAGCAACCACTAAAGTGTCAACATAAATTTCAAAACTTTCTCGCAACAACTATTTAGCTGTCTACAAATACGAAACCGATACAAACTTTAAAGTAGTTCAATGAAGTTTAAAGTTTTAATATAATTAAGGCTTTTATTTATCGCAGCAAGTAAACTTTTATTTGATAAATGTTTGAAAAGAAATACAATTAACACTTGCTGCGTTGCTCTTTGAATTCTAGGAAACCTATATTGGATGACTAGCTTTGGTATTTCGTTCTGATATGTGACAGAAAGCTGTAACTTTAGTCAGTTGAAAATGTCAAATGTTCAGAAAATTGGTTGAGGCACTGCTTTTTTTCTACGGATATTTTAGTTTTTATGAACAAAATTATGCAATCAAAAAGTATGTAAACGTTGTTCTAATCTTCAAAGCACTGTTAAATATTGCGTCTTGTACTCAAATATAATTAATTAAAATAACGTTTTTTTTTCTTTGGCTGACCCATTGTCAGAAGATGAATACCGAATAATGTTAAGCACGAAGTTTAAACTTAACTTGAACGAATCGAAATTGTTACTTTTTATACACTTTGTGACACCTCAGACTTCCACTCTTCTTAATTTCTAAATCAATCGATGGCATGTATAGAATTGAGAGTTTCCAGATGAAGGGCAGTGTCAGTATCGTTACAAGAATAAGAGTTACTTACACATAACTGACTTTTTTGATGTCGGCACAAATATTTGACCTTCGCAATCACTATGTATACAAAACTACTGTATTGTACACTGGCGGACACGGAATTTTGGACGATTTGTCATTCGACTGACATAAAAATGTAAAACGGGTTTTAGGCAACTAACCTTACTTTCGGTTTTTGTAATTTTTATCCTGATAGCTAGAGTAGAAAACTACAAATTATAATAATTTATTGAACTTATATAAAAACACGTATTGCTGGCATTATTGTTTAGGAAAATCGACGCCAAAAATAAATTTCAATTAAAACTTTCCGATTTTGGTTTCAAACGTCAATCATAATCACAATAAAGCGTGACTTACATTGAGATTTTTTGAACTGACATAAATTTGATGTCCAAAGTTCTGTGGCCGCCAGTGTAGGAAAAATTATATGTGTTACACTGGAGGAAAGTATCTTTTCCTCCCATAGGTGAAAGTTACTGCCCCAGACTTTGAATATCGATACACTTTTCTCCTTTGGAATCTAAATAACTATTAAATGGAAATGGTTTTACGTCTTATTTAAATACATATCTTCATCTTCATCAAGATAAATAAAAGAATTGGTTAATAAATATATAATAGTTTATTAGGTCTATTATGACTTATTTACTTTCTAAAATAGTGATTCGTGGCATAATAACTTGTAGGTAGCAGATCAAAGCGATGATTTAATTACACTTAGTTTAATTAATAAATAAGACAGACAAATTATTTAATTACCAATTTTAACAACAACATAAAGTTCAATTGTCAAATGTCAGTCATGATGACAGTAAAGGGTAGTTTACAGTGAACTTTTTAAAGTGACAGAAAAATACTGCTCAAAATTTTAATTTCGCAACTGTACATCTCTAAAAATTGCTAAAGCAGCAAAGAAGACAAAAAAGAAGCAACATTGGTAAATATCAATATCGTGATAAAAGTAATAACGCTTAGGTGCAAAAATAAAATTTTTACTTCATGGTGGATAGGTAAAATTTTTAATTGTGACATTTAATTATAAAAGTGGTCACTTTGTGACGTTTGCAGATAAATTAATAAATTTAAATTTAGTTGCTTTTGCGAGTGGCGGTTTTTAAATATCTGATTAATTAATTGCTATAAAATTAAATTATGTACTGTGTAACGCATAAAATGTTAACCTCTTGGGAGCTAATTTTAGAATAAAATGAATTCATTGCATATTACCAACGGTCATAAAAAATATGCTAAAATGGCCATAAAAAGCTTAGTGCCGCTTCTAGTTTAATTTACTCTAATAACAAAAAATTCTATAAAAAAAACTATTTGCAAGACGCAAAAAATTGATAAAAATTGTGAAATATACTATTATTCTCTTGAAAATTAGACAAGCATTTTTAGGACATTCATTTTTCCTACAACAATAGCTCAGTATAATTGAATTTTAAACAAAGGTAAAAATAATAAGAAGTTTGCTTTTGGCATTGCTAAAAGATTAAAGCACTTAAAATACGCGATGTAACAATAGTAAAAGATAAACTGCTCGCAAAGGCTTCTGCATTCATTAAAACTAAAAATATGAATTGTGTAAACAGGTGCGAAAAACTGGAAATATTTAAAAATATAACTTTTTTTAATTAACTTCTTTTAATTAATTATTACTAAAACTAAACTAACTAAACAAGTCTACTTCTGTTGCATCATTGTAAAACATTTCATGATGCCAGTACTTAAATGCTTTTAAAAGAATAATTTCGCGTGCATGAATAAACGAATAATAAATTTAATTATAAATTTCACTTCTGATAAACAATATTTCGTGACCGCGAAGAGAAATATTAAATTTAATCGTGCTCCATTTGTCTAGGAGACAAATCAAAGAAAACAACTTTTCCGGCAACTCTAGATCAATGCAAACATTTAAATTTCAAAAATAAGTTTTGTTTTACATAATTACGTTATTTACATAATTATTCACAAAAGTCAAAAACAGCTAAATTCGAAAATGTTTTTTAAAGAAATGGTGGAGGCGCCGGGTTAGTTGTTCCTTAATACATAACTAACAAAATTAAAAATAAGTTTTGCTGTGGTTGCAAAAAGTTTTATTAAACGCCATATGCGTTATACTTATGTAACTATGTTCAATTTCAGTTTTTATATCAAAACAACAATAACATTTCGTTCAGTTGGAAACATCCACTCGCAACCAAACTTGGCACGAAGTAAAGGAGATTTTTAATAAATTTTACGGAATTTCTTTTGGATAAATTTGCCTTAAACGCGAGAAATTTTCTACAAACTTATAACAAAATTTAAAAATATTTTACATGAGATGAATAATTTGTGAATCCAATTTTCTAAACGCTTCAAACAGTGTCACCAAAACTGATCGAATAGCATGACCTAGATATGTAAATAATTCTAAAGGCAACAAAAACTTTCAAATCATTAACATTCATTAAATCGGCTGTACGTCTGTAATTTTTTCATTGCTTATATTATTTTTAAATGAAGCGTAATTTTATTTTGCTAGATCTTGTTAATATTACAATTTTACGACTTGTCCTTGGACTTTAGTGCCGTAAATGGCCTTTTTAATGTTTACCACTATTCGACCAACGTTTTACGCCTCTTTTCTTGGCTCGTTCTTAAGTATTTTGCTTGAGAGAAAACAATTTGATACTTATCAAAACCACTTGAGGCAGGTATATTTACCATTTTTCCTAACTTTGTTCCACATATAATTCAGACAAATTACCTTGTAAAACTTCAAAATAATCCCTTTTCTCATAAGACAGGACGTTGTTATTTATCAAACTTGAAACATAATCCTCTTACTTATTTTATCATTCTTTATTTAAGCCAAGCTTTGTATTACACTCAAAAAATGAATATGCTACGACAAATTGCAGTATTTTTTAAACTACATGTTTGATAATGGATGATGTCTAATGATAATAAGTAGAATGACATATTTTCAAAAATCGAGTTAAAAACTCCATCTATAGGAAAAAAGTTATCAGCATTGGGCTTGCACAGCTTTACAGATCAGTGTCACAGCGAGGTTCCAAACCAAATGCGCAGTAGAAAAGCTCGCTGAAAGCTGGATATAACGTTGCTCCTACAGATTTCGTGTCAGTTCTTGTCTTGATAAGTTACAGAAAACATTGTTTAAACTATTTTTAATCAAATTTTCGCTACCGGTTTTTGAAACCACGTGAACAAAATTAAAGTGATTTATTATCGAATTTGCTATAACATTCAAATTTTATACTGTTAAAATTGCTCAAATAAACCGCCGCAAAAATGATAAAAACGACAACTTAATTGGTTGAATTTCGAAGTCTGCAAAAATTAAATTGTGTTCACAGTTGAGAAACGGACTAATAAGGCACAAACAAAAGATCAATATTCAGTTTGGTGTACGTTTGTGCGGATGAGGGCGCTTCAGTCGAACTCGCAACGTTTCAATGAAAAGCTGAAAACATCGTCACTGAAAGCACTTGCTCTCGAGCTTTCGCACAAACACATGTTAAACACATCCTTAAATCCGACAGTTAAAAAAGATCGCTGTGCTTAAATAAATTTAAAAGTTTAATTACTAAACACATGTAACGCAATTATAAACAATTTGTAAAACATATCAGTAAACAATGTTCTGATGAATCGCCAAAAAATATTTGACAAAGGAGAGTATACACTGTAGTATTTTTGATATTGTTATTTTGGGACCATTTTATATAAATATTAGAGCTAGATTTTAGAGTTAAGTGTTAGAAAATTGTTGTTTCCTATTAATTCTAGTTGTTCTAGTGATAAATGTGCTCAATTAGAATTAAATGTTGCATATCTAAAGTATTTTAATGAATGTTTACACACGATTTAATGGGGCCACTTGCACATAGTACCAAATTAACCTAAATTTATTCCAGTGCCAAAAATTGTGAAGATATCCAAACATAATACAAATCACTTAAAGTTGCCAATTTTTATACGCTATTTTTTGTAAGAAGAGGTTTATTCCCCCAGTGCCATTCTAAAGTTAAAAAAATATTGAACCAATAAATTCTCTTGAACTCTAATACAACTCTAAAACTTTTTCGTAAAGTTTCACTAACACAAAACATAAAATAAACTCTTAAGTGTTAAACCTAAATGTCCCTACGTGTTAGTAAATATAATAAATTTATAAATGTAACTAAACTAAATGTCTAAATACCCATTTGTAAACGTACAAGTGCTAAGTTATCGTCTTATATTATGGCTAGTACTGTGCCTGAAGTAAAACCTGTGATTGCGACTGTAAGTACGATACACGCCGCTCCTGAATCGGAAATGGACGCACTTTTGCTTGGCAGAACTCGGGTAAGTGTAAAAACTTATCTCGTAAAAATATTTATAAAGACAATAAACCGCAAAGCGCTCGCTTGGTAGAATTACAACAAAACTATTACGCCTTTAACGAGTCTAAGTCTAAGTGAGTACAGATGATCAAAAACGTGAGCAAAATAAATCGATGACGAGGAAATTGCATGAAAAATAAGACGACAAATTTTGCGTTCCAAACACATACGATAATAATCCCTTGACGGTTCCCTAATCAAATAATTTTATTTTCGTGTTCCTTAATTCCCTACGAATTCTTAAAATAGCCTGGAGAAGAACGTTTGAGTGCCCTTCTAAATTTTTAAATAGCGGATCCTTGTCACTGCTTTTTGAACAAGACGGACTTTTTAATTCAATTCCCTGTCAATTTTCCGATAAGTTAATTGCACGAGAAGGATTTTTTCAGAAAAAGTCATCAGTCGGCGAAACTAATTTCCCAAAGAGGTAGTTTTTATTGCTGGTTAAAGCTAAATTAATGTGGGGTGCTCGTGTAAACATTGACGTTACTGTACCTAGAAATAGGAGTAACTTGGCGATAATGGCGCGGAATTAATTTACTCATGAAAGCTCCTCGCTGAAGAAAAGCTTATTTTATAAATAAAATTTACGAACTGAGATTATATTTTTATAATCCTGCGATTTAGGAAACGCGGGATTGCGTTCCATATCCACGTCAAAACAAAATGACTCCAACAGCGTCAAATTATATTCGTCAGAACTTTTTTCGTTCAATAGACAATTACGGGTTAGAAGGAACCGCCAATTTTACTCCCCTCTGATTTAATTCAATTTCTGCACTCGCAAGACCAGTGTAGACAAGTGAAAATTTGGTGAGATTTTTGTGGCAGTAAGACCCGAAATCGGCTTGATTCCAACTGACAGAATCTGAATTACGACATGGCAAATAATCCAAAGTTTTATCTTACGTAGTAAAAATCGATTTATAGTCTTATCATGTTCCAATTTGAACGGAAAATTTTAACGAATATAAAATCGGTTCCGCTTCGGAAGGATTATTAGTTGAAAAGTAATTTAATTTATCTTTGGTGCTGTATAATAAATAAAACTTCTATTTTCCAATAGTTGCAAATTCTTCGGTAAAGGTCCTATCAAATAAAATATCAAAAGTAGGACAAAGACAAAAATAAATTTCCAGTAAATGCAACAAAAAATCTTGCACTGTTAAAATATGCATTAGGTGGACTTCTCCGAAAGCAAAAGATAAAAGAGTATTCCGTTACTTGACGTTACAGAATCCTCGTGGGAATAGTTTCTTTCAAAATATATTTGCTTTTTCTGTTGGTTTGAGCAATTTTTATAGCAGCTCAGCTAAAAACCTATACGACGCTATAAACCACATTAATATACCTAAGTTTTACATTTTCATAAAATATCAATCATTTTCGTTGTCACCTTGGAGCTTAATGATATTTCAACAAAGTAGAAAGGATAATGCTTAGACGTGTCGTAGATGCGTCAATTAAATCCTCTTGAATTTATTGGAGTGGAAAACGAAATGTGATTCCTATCTACAATTCTACTAACATTGTTCCTTATTACCTAAAAGGAATTTTTGTAACGAAATGTCACATTCTTAAAATGTTATTTAAATCTAGACATTGTTTAAATGTAAAAAATGCTGCTTGCAAAAAAATAATAAATAATTCAAATTTCCTTTTTCTTAAATAAGCAATCTTTTTATTAGAACTCAAAAAGATTCATAAAATATTATTCAACTTGTATGTAGATACAAAATTACGAAGTGTACATACAGGGTGCGCTAGAACTCATGGCCCAGAGCAAAATTTCAAGTAAAATAAGATACCAGGAACATGGAAAAAATTTTGCAATTAATTTTTTGACATTTGACATTTTTTTGTCTATTTAATGATACTGATGATCTTGTATATGTTTTTCTACAATTATTTAGTAAATGTACAAAACTTATGCTAATAAAAGCCACAAATGACATTGAACAGAATTACAATTTAGGAAACAGCTTCCTTGTTTCCTCTTCTAATAGCCTGCAGCAAAAAAACTTAGAAAATTATTTATCCAACAGAAATAGATAGAGTCAAAGTGTAAAATTTAAACTCTCATAACTTCGCGAGTTCTGGCGCACTCTGTATGTACATACGTACTAAGTGAAGTATAAAACCAAGCACTTTTTTCAATTATTTGAATCCAGAAAACAAAAATTTTAAAAATGTGAGTGCTATCAAAAATGTGATTGTGTTTTGAGAATGAAATTTTGTTTTGTTTTCGAGTTATTCGATTTTTTCCAAAATGGCAACTTAGTACATACATAATTTTTTTTTTCGATAAAAATTGAATAATTGTAGATAGTCGTAACTTTTGGGTCATAGCTTTTGTAAAAAAGGTTTTATAATGGGTTGCCAATAAAATTTAAATTATGCAAAACCCAAAAACAGAAAAATAATCTTGTAAAATTTTATTCTCGAGAAAACTTCACATTTTTATATACTCTATTATCCATATCAATTAGTTTTTTTGACAAAAAACATTAAGCAAATAACGTTTGGTTCCATACTTCTTGTCTACCTGGTATAAATAACCTTTCCTGTAAAAACATAAGTTTACATTATGTAGTTTGAATACATATTTTAGTTCGCATCAAAGCTTTTTAGGTGTCTCGCAGAAACAATTTAATTTCAAGATCGAAAAGGTATTTACAGCTTAATCAACTTTAAAGTCGTTTATTAGGTATTACTAAATTAAATACTATACGAACGCCTTCGGTAATGGTTTTTCTCACTTTTAAGTGACTTATTGCAAAATTTTTATAAAATTTTTTGCAAACAGGACAGGAATTTTAAAACTTATTAAATATTAATTTATATAAATATACAATCACTGAATTTATACCAAAATTTCAAAAAACCTCAACCAATAAAAAATCTTTTTTTTTCTCAATTATGTGTTGTATGTTAATATTCTGTTCTTTCAAATTAATCTGTATAGACTCATTAAAATCTGACCTAAAAAATTTAATTAATTAGTCTCGTTTCTTTATTAAACATCTAAAAAAGAGTAATGTCGAATAACGCTTTTAATAAACGTAATAAACATAATTTTCAGATCAAACTGAACATTGGCGATGATTAAAATTCGTACATATATCGCGTGTTTAAAAAATGTGTGGCATAATTTTAACCACGAATACCCCTGTACAAATGAGAATAGAGAGCACAGTATTTACTGACCTAACTCAAAAAATAGAAAAATTACAGCTTTCCAAAAATCGGTATGGAAAATGATTTTTTGGAAATATTTTTGTTATCGTTTACCCGATTATTATGAAACTTTGCATGTCAAGGGACAAAAAGACACTCTTTGATATGGTGTAAATGGAAGTCTTGTAAAACCTAT